TAGGTCAGGATGGAACAACAGTCATGCTGAAGTAAAAGCTCATGAATCATCTCCAGTGTGTCTTACACAGTGTCAAAGCATTTTTATTTTTTTTTTAATATGAAGACAAAGTATTTGTTATTCATGCAAAAATTCCAGATAAAAAACAAGGGATTGTCAAAAATCCTTTTCACCCTTTCTGGTGGTGGGGGGAGACTTTATAATGCTCTAAAAGGGCCATTCAGTGCCTTGGCCACTGGCTTTCATTTCACAACAAATGTAAGATTCCACTTCCTCCATTTTAGGTAGCCCAATGTTTTGAGTAAGATATTTTAAGGAGAAAGGGAAGAGAACAAATGCAGACACACCTCATCTGAATAGCTCCATAGCCCAGTAGAATGAAATATGTCAGGCCAACCCCAGTTCCTGTTTTCTTCAGTACTGAGTTTTGGAGGTAAAACACAATGGTTTGTGATTTTTATTGGATTAGAAGGCAAGTGATTTTCTATATGTTCTCAAAGCCCCTTGAATATATCTTTAAAAAATCTTAATAAAAATTAGTCTTTTTAATATAGGCAAGTTTCAAAAGACTTCAGTAAAAGAACAGCAGCAGATGGAGATCCCGGGGATGGATACTAAAATATTACAAACTCCATCCCAAAAGAACACGTAGTGTAAGGCAGAGTCTTTAAATGATAGCACAGCCCTCCACCATGACTTACAGGCACAGGAAATGAAAGAGCTGGAATCGAAGCTGACAGGCAGAGCCAAGCATAGAGCTGCCTGCAGCACGTTATTATTTCCTCAGTGTCATTGCCTGCAGACTCCTGTGATCCATCCATCTATGGAGGAAGGAGGAGCCACCATCAAGTGGACACTTCACGTGTTAAACTTAGCTCAGAGCTGAAGGCAACACGCTTGTAACAAGTTTGCCTCAGTCTGGCATCTAGACTAAAATTAATCAAATATCTGCTTATATCTCGTTTTATGCCACCAGCAAGATTAAAAAAGAGTTACAGAAAGGCACTTTTACGTTTACTCAAAACCAGAAAATACAGTTTTCATGGAAAGGAAAAGTCTTTCTGGAGGCTGAACTGGGCTGATGGAAGAGATTGTTCTCAAAAGTTTCTGATATGAAAGGGTTTCTGCCGTGAAATGAGCTGTTAAATAAACACCTATCAAAATATCAGCACTTTTTTTAAAGCTACCTGGCTCTAGGGCTTAAAAAAAAAAAAAAAGATAAAGTGGTGATGTTCTACCACAGATACCTGTTCAGCTGTGAAGGATGATAAGGGAAAAACATCTCTCAAAAACTAAACTTCTCCTAATGGTTCTCCTGATAAATGAAGGAGTCTGTTTCATTCAGAATTTTTCCTAAATTTAGTCTGGCCTGAAACCAAGACACAGTTTCTCCACTGACTTCATGAGATTTGCTGCCAATTAATAGCACAGCATACCCAATGAGCATTGAGAAGTCTGAGACACAGTTCCCTGGAATTCTTCAGACTCCGTGGTCATGCAAACACCCCAGAACAACTCAAGTGTCCCCTGCAAGCTCTTGGTTCCAGAGGATTCAAGAGCTGGAAGTGTGGGTGAAAACCTAGGGATGTTTATGTTGTCTCTTTAGGAATCACACTGATTACAAGTCAGTTTAAAAACCCATTCTATTTTTGAATTAGAATTTTGATGGTGGGTATTACCTGGATCCTCATGTCTTTCCCAGTGGGCTGGGGCTGCCCAAGACCACTTGCTCCAGCAGCACTTTCTCCTCCTCAGAACCTTGGAGGAGTCTCTGGGACAACCCTGTGACCAGACATGCTGATACAAAGCTGCCATTCCGCTCTTGCTTGAATCTCAGCAGTTCTGTCTCCTGGTCCCACAGAACAGCATTACTACTTATTAAAAAAAAAAGAAAAAAAAATACCATAATTGACCCAGACAGGCTCAGAAAAGCTTGGATGTTTGGACAAAACTCACAGGAGGAGGATTACACGGATACTCTGCAGCTGGACACCAGGCAGCCAGAAGTGATGAGCCAGCAGAACAGACGGGTGGAGCAGGGATCACCAGCTCAAATGCGAGGTACAACAGGATGGGGAAAGTGGGTATGTGTCTGCTTGGTACCTGCCATAGTCAGTGTGGGGGTCCAGGAGAGGCAGAATTTGAGAGAGAGAGGCACACTGTAGGCAAACCGTTGGAATTGGCAGCTGCTTTGCACAGATCACTTCCGAGAACATTTTCATTCCCCGGTTTTAACGAAATGCGTTTCCCCTTCCTTTGTTGCGCACGTTGTTACACCCAGCAGCCCTGCCAGCTCCCGTGTGAGCGAGCGTGGGGGGCTATTGCTCATTCCGAGCCATATGCTTCTGTCAGATGTTTACTTGCACGAGTGACAAGTCGTTCTGAGCCTTTGAAAAGCTACGGGAGGCATCGCTGTTCCCCACTCCCACCTCATTCCTGCAGCCACAGCCTGCGCTGCAGGCGAGGAGCGGCCGGATCCCAGGCAGGCAGGGAGAAGGGACGAGACTCACACCACGGGCAGATGTGGGCCATGGAGCAGCCCCCCTAAACTGGGAAGGATGATATCCTGGAAGTAACATAACCCCTCAGCAGTTACAGGAGTGCCAGTCACTCCAGAGAAGATGGTGTTCCTTTCTGTGAAGGAAAAGCTAGCGAGGAAAAGGAGAGCGGTGAGAGCCTGGCACTTCTGCTACTGCTGCTCTCTGTTGAACTATCAAAGGGTTTTTAAACCTCTGCAATTAAGATCTTGTATCCCCTTAGTGCCATTATCCCTAGGTGCAGTGTGGCAAATTAAGTTTAAAGGTAATGCTTCCATTTTCTCTGTGTTTCTTTTTAAAGAGTAAAGGCTCTATATAACTAAATATATTAAAATATACTTTTAATGTCCAGGTTACTTACTGGCAAGTTTGGATGCCCACAGGACCTTAAAACAAAGAAATTCTGTGCCACAAGCAGACGAGGGAAGAAGTGCTCCTCAGAGAGAAGCTGATGAAAGGGACAGCTGTAATATAAAAATTTGGAGGCTCTCACAGAATGAGATGTTCACTTTGGGGCATATCCTTGGTACAAGCTCTATTGGTGATAGTGTTTCTTTTCTAAGGTGTGCTTAACTCCTGAAAAGAGTCTTGGAAGCTCTTCTTTGATCAAAGACTGGTCTTACCCAGCAGCATCACCTTGAAGAAGAGGCAGAATTTCTACTCCTTCTAAGGAAAACCACAGGTTTTTGCTTTTCTTTGTTGTGAAGAGCAGGTGGAGGTTCCAGTATTTTAAGCTGTTTGGGGGGTGATGGAAAGTGGAATAGATCCCTCTGACAGTCTGGTCATCCCAGTGTCTGTACATTAGAATACTGCTAGTTATTCTTGAGATCCAATAAAGCAGATATTTTCTAGCAATTTATGATCTGGTAGATGTTGCTCCCAGCTTTCAGGAGATTCCGTTTTCTACAGATGTATCAGCTGTGCTAAGAGCTTTGTCTTTACAACACCTCAGGGGAAGGTAATCCATTTTGCATCTTAAACTGTCCCTCTGCCTTTCCATGTCCTTGTGTTCTCTCCATGATTTTACACTGCTTTATCTTCTTTGCTTACAAGTGCTCTACTTCTCTAATCTTGGAAAAGATTGCCCTTCCTTCCACTCTACCTTTCTGACTTTCAATAAATTGGCTGGTGACTCTATGACAGCAGAATTGATCATCTCTCCTCAAGCTGTCTCCACAGGTCACAGGCAATCTCGGTGTTTGTGGGACCTTGTCTTCCCCGACAGCTCAGGTCCTGGTTATCCTGCAGTGCTCTTGGACAGTGACTGCTGAGCGAACGGAGACATTTCTGGTGCTGTTGTACCTGATTGTTCTGCCACTTAAACGAACGTTCCTTCCCTGGCTCTCAGTGATTGCTCTCATTTTATCCTCTCTGCTTCACAGAGCGCTCCTGCTTGACGGATTTGAAGTTTTGTAACTTTCTGGTTGTTTTTCAGCCAGCAGCAGTGTTTCCCCTTTCTTACTTGTTACGTTTTCTCACTGGAGCCCTCTCACTCCGTAACTTCACCCAGCAGCTCTTTGCTGCTGACAGCCAAATCCAGCTCTCTTTAGCCCAGTGCCCCAAAGCCTGGGATAACTTTGTACTTCCAACCATTTGCTTGGCATCTTCTCACCCATTTCTCTCACAAAACTGGATTAAAAGGTCCTTACTTTTTAGTTCCAGGGGTGATAGTTAAAATGCAGGTGGTAATTCAGCTTTTACACTCCTCCCTTACAGTTTAAGCAGCTCAGCTGAGTCAGGAAACAGATTTCATAACTCAGTGTTGTAGACTTACTGCCTAGTTTTCTAATAAGGCCAGTTGAGGAAGATTGCTTCTCATATTTTCCAAGATCATTTAAAGTCATTAACTGTTCCACAAGGGAGGTGTCTGTCTGCAAGCCTGCAGTAGGGGTGGAAGACCAGCTATTACTAATGTTCAGAGCTTCAGCCAAATCAGGATTTTGAAAGGGCTTTAAAAAGTATTATTATCATCATAGCCTGGATACTCTTACCTAAGGAGGATCTGGTAAAAAATGAAGCAGACCACCAAATTACCCACTGAGTAGCCCAAGCTTTCTGCAGTACGAGCAGAATGCAGTCTGAAATCATTTGGCTTGGGAGGCCTGTAGAACTTAATCAGCTGTTCCATTAATTGCCTTGTCACTTTTTGAACCACAAGGATATGGTGCTCTGTAGCTGCTGTTTCTGCAGACAGCAGGAATCCAGTACTACTGTCAAACCTGTAGCTTGGACAAAAATGAGGGACACTTGGGTGGAGCACAGCAAGAAACAAAGTCTGTGCTGTCAAAATGTAGACCAGAGATGGATCAGATTTTCTCAGAGGTAGTAGGTCCGGCCCCTGCAAATTAAGGTTGAAAAAGCCTTTTGATTTAGAGTGAGAAAAGGAGCCATGGTCAGCAAGGCTCTATCTCTGAACCCCCTATGGGGTAATAAATCCTCTAATTTTTTTAACCTCCACAGAGGTTAAAAAAATAAAGTCCCCCACTTTATTAGTGATTTTTGTAGGCAGCAGTTCGGGCTTTTCTTTGCTCAGGGAATGCTGTGGTTCATGACTATATAGCTGTCAATCCCCTTTCCAGAGAGAGCACGCTGCCATCTCATCTGTTCTCAGCTTCTGGAGAGCATGTTTCTGCTCTAAACATCTTTGAGAACACTGGGAAGCACCTGTTGAGTAATGGAAAAAAAACATGTACAGCCACACCCTGGCCAAGTGGAAGTCCATGCTGATGGCCTTGGCCTGGTTCACTACCTCCCTCAGGCCCCTGGCTGTCCTTTCTTCTGAATGAATTGTTCAAAATGCTGTTGGTAATCAGCTTAGCGGTGTTCTGCCCGCTCCACACTCGCAGCAGTTTCCATCCACAGCCACACTGCGGATTCCTGGCCCCTCGCTGTGCGGTATCAGGGCTATCGGCTTCTCGCTGCTCTAAATAGCTCCCCTGCTCCCAGCTGACATTCCCAGCCCACAGAAACCCGAACGTTCCTGCGCGGCTCCTCAGTTCGGGAAACCGAGAAATAACACGTTCTTTTACTGTCTTATTCCTCTGCAAGTTCTGACTTGTGTTTCTTCTGGAGAAAGTAAAAACAGGAGGAAAGCCCTGCATGTACAACACTAAAATTCAACAATACACGAGTGAGCTTTTTAGCTGCTTCACAGGCTCATTTGTCACCATAAGTCCCCAGGATAGTTGTTGCCTTGTGTAAGAGGAGCCAGGATCATTTGGCTGTAGACTTAGAAAGGTGGCTCTAATTTCAACTAAAAATACATTTGCATTCTTTCTGCCTTATTCTTAACCACACAGCTCCCCCTCTCACAGTGGCACAACCCTTGTGCACCACTTTCCCCTGTGTCCAGGCTTTCTTTATTCAACACTCCTCCTAAACAGGACACAACCTTGTTTGCCTCTTTCCCAGCTCCCACTTTCAAACCCCATCTTTCTCCCAGCTGAAAGTGATACAGGTTTAAGGCCCCAAAACCATCCAAAACTTAATTGATTTTTCCTTGCTTAGGCAAAGACAGAAAAGATTTCTGAACTTCGGGGTTGTATTATATAAAATGCATCAGTGAGATGTTATATTAAAATAAGGTCATGGAAATACAGTTTCATTCCATTTGCACTAAAATTGGTGAGTCTTTTGCAATTCTTGTTTAACCAAGACAAGTTTCTTTCTCAGAAGTATTTAATTACATAAAATACTGAAGTACATTGTATTGAATCGCACTAATTACAATGGCTGGTGCAAAATTAAAAACCAAATGTGCAGTGTGATTTTGGTGATGTGAGTTAAAGCAGAATTGGGTTTAAAATCTGTTAAGATTTTACTGAGCAATCACCCTTCTCACAGAGGGAAGATCAGGTGCCAAAGCTGAGGGTCCTCAGCAGTACTAGTGCTGATGGTTTAACTTGCTTCCTTGTCCATTTGGATGCCTAAAAAGACACAGATTTGGGACTGGTTTTGCCACCCTAAACCCCCATCCCCTGGGCATGGCTCCCCAAAGCTTGCAGATGACCAGGAAGCCAAAGTCAGGTGTGTGCCAAGCTCTCCCTCTTATGGATACCCCTTCCTCCTAAGGCTGTGCAGCAGCAGAGCTGCACAGCAACTGCTTTGGAGGGGAAACTGAGAAGTGTTTGCAGTTAGCAATTAGCACACATTGCAAATGAGACTGTAAACAGGTTATCTGGCAATTAGCAGCAGCAGTCCATTTCCCCCATCCTAACACAATCTCACTTCTTTTTCAATCTGTGTCCCAGAAACCATCAAAGTGATAATTCTGTGAACTGTCAGTACTGATAAACAAACAAACAAAAAGCAATAATCATGATCTTCTTGAGAAATTCCTTCATGTTTCACATCTCCTCGGCAAGACATACTGGGGATCAGTTCCTTAAATTAAAAATCAAAGCAAACAAAACCACCACCTTACTTTCCCCAGTGTTTGGTTTGGAAGAACTAACATAATTTGAAAAAGCTGGCTTAATGCATTTTTTTTTAATATGAAATTTGCTTACAGATCTTTACCCTGTCAGTAATTAACAGATCCATGTAGTTTTAACTGGATGTGGGGTTTTTTCCTGCGGGTTTATTTTCTTCTATCGCTCAGCCAACTCGTGGTTGGCTGTCAATTCATTCAAGACCCTTCAGTATTTTTGCAGGCTTCTAACAAGAAAATGTGTTTTCTTCATTAATTATTCTTTAAGAAGATAATCTGGATTATTAAAGGTTCTTCAGGTCCTCTTCTCTGTGGTTTACGAGCTCTTCTAGTTTCAGTCGTCTGGAGAAAAATGAGGGATGTAAGTCTCCAGAAAACAATATTTATTAGTAGCTACAACAAGCCACACAAGTGATATCGCTTTGAGACCAGCAGTTATACAAATTTTATGCTAAAGTATCTCTGTAAATTATAAATTAAGTCCATTGGGATTTTTTAAGAATGATAATATTTTTCCTGGAGAAAACATTAGTGGCACCGAAAGAGCCGTGCGCTGGCTCTGGGGACCCATTTTGCTAAAAGCAAAGATAGGAGGTGACCAGCTGGCTCAGAGACATCAAAAAGGCTTGGAAAATCCTATTCCTGTGTTGCTGATTTGGCAGCAGCTTGCTCACTTGAAAAGCCATGATACGATCAGGAACCTTTTCTCACTGGCCAGCCATGACCTCAGGCAGTTTCCATTTTGCAGCTTGTTGGCAGCATTTGTAAAACTTTAATATCTGAGAGTACAGTTGCTGATACCTTGAATCAAATGCTGCAGACACTGAAGAGCCTCCTGAGAGCATCATGTGTAATATGCAAAGGCATTATGTGTACATCTCTCAATGTGTGTACTTCATCTTGCTTTTCTTCTGCTGTAAAGTTGGTGTTCATCTGCATCATTCCATACATTATTATTATTTTTAGGGTGTGCATTTCCTTAGTTCTCAGTGTGCACCAGCCTTTGCTGGTACATTACATGTCATATTAGCTGTCTCTGTTTGAGACATTATTATTTTGTGCTGACATCTCCACCACTTTGATTCATGTAATGAAATTTAGCCTTAAAACCATTACAACAGGAGATAATTTATGAAACACTGAACAAGAAGTCCTCCCTCCCCTCAAGAGCTGACTAAGACAGGGACAAAAAGAGGAATCATGGGTGATAATTGCATTGTCTCATTCCATTTTCCTCTGAAGCCTTATTACAGCTGTCCCAAGAAAACATGCATTATACAATCCAAGTAATGAAAGAGCAATTCTAAAAGCTAATTGTCTATAAAAATCTAGAGTTGATCCTTTACTCCACGGAAGTAGAAACTGATTGCATTAGTATGCCAATGCATGGAGATCATATCCAGGTTCAGAGTACCAGCTTCCCTCTCTCAGAAGGTGTTGGAAGAATAAAGACACATTGAAATATTGCAGTGAGAGCATTCTAACACAGAGATGACTTCTCATAGAAATGCATACGAGATCCAATGGCGAAAAACTGAAGAAGAATTCCATGGCCTGGGGCAGGAGGATTATCCTGGCACCTTCGAGCTTTAAAATCTGTTAAACTGATAGACCAGTTAGGCAAACAGTAAGAGCTCTTTAAGCACTCCTTCCAAGACACAGGAAACTAGAATGAGAAAAGGAAACATATCACAAGTGGTTACATACAAGTCATTTTTTGTTGCTCCATTGGCTATATTTCCTGCCACAGTAGTGACCTCAGATTGCAGCACTTGGAGTTGTTCCAGAGGGTCTGATTGAAGACCAGACCTGGAAATGGTCTTCACTCAGCAAGTGAAAAGACAGCAAAAGAAAGTCAGAAGAAGCATTGCAGTTCACCAAGGGAAATGAGGATACCAAAGATAAGGCCTGGAATGCTTTCTGACTGAAATTTAACCCTGTGAAAGAAAATGCATTGACCCTGCTCATGAGGGGATGAAGAAACTCTTAAGAAAGGAACATGAAGCAATATCTCAAATTATCCATTATTTCCACAGATTTTGGGTATGGGGTTTGGGGGTTTTTTTGTTTGGTTTGGGTTTTTTTGTTTTTTGTTTGGTTTTTTTTTTTTCCAGGAAGAAATCATTAAGAGACTAAATTTGGTCTCCAACCTGCCACTTATCACTGCCTCTCCTACTACCATGGCCCCAAGCTGATGGTACAACAGAAAGAGACTGCCAGCCAAAATGGAATTCAGCTGACACCAACATATCTCTGCTGAGAGGTATCACATGAATGTCTTGGTGCAGACCAGCAGTACAGACCCTTAACAGTGACATTTCTATATAGACAATGTTTAAAAGGCCAGGAACAATGCACACAAATGCAGCACCATATTTTATAGCAGAAAGAACTAACCAGGCTCATCTAATGATAAAAACAGCCCTGAATTCAGCATTACGTACATCCCAGTAGACAATACCATAATTATTCATCTTTACAAGTGAAACTATGGACTGATAAGTATAATGTTAGACTGAAATTCAGCTCTGTTTAGTGCTGAGGTAGAAGAGTTTCAATAAATGTGGATGTATGTGAGAAAATGGTATCTGGAAATTTATATTACTTGAAGATAGATCATTATGTATATGCAAATCATTGTATATCAAATAGAAGTTACAGATTATTGGTTTGTTTTTTTTTTTCCCAGAGGAAAAGAAAAATCAGGAAACAGATACAGTAATATTTTCACAGTGATTTAGTGAAATCCTGCTGCCCAGGTCAGGTCACATAACCCTAATAGACCTAAAAGTGCAGTCACAGTGCAGTAAACAGTATAAAAGTTAGAGATAACTGAAGATAGCTAAAGGATGTTGAACTGATAAAGTGTTATGCATGGTTTAAAAACAAACACACAAGCACCTGATTGTCTTTTCTGTATTTTATTTTCTCAGGAATATCCTGAGCATAAGGGCAAGTGATCCTTTTATGCATGTCTCCTAGAAGCCTGAAGAACTGAATAAGTCATACTCACAAAAATGACAAAAAAACCAGTGATGCCAGGTTTTGATCCAAATTTGTTCTGACCAGGTGTAGGATTTTGATCCTGTGCCTTTAAAAACTGGCAGTTTAGCAAAAACATCAAGCAAAAACAATTTCCCACTGGCTAGAAAAATACTGCTGATGATCTCTCCAGTGAAACCAAGCAAAAAACTTTATCTCATGCAAACAATAAGTTCTGTGGGTTTGGTTGGTTGGTTGGGTTTTTTTCTCTGTGTTATATAATAAGAAATCAGGTGCATTCTTCACTTTTCATTGTAAGCCAAACTGCACTGTAACACTGGGAAATCCTGATTCCTTTTACAACTGCTGATTTTTGAGAGCTCCCCCCCCCCCAATCTTGGTCATAGGATTGAACATTAATCTATAAAAAAGGCCTGGAATTTGATTACTACTTGCTCAATACAGA